ATTTTAACTTAAAACGTTTCTGAATTAAGCTATTTTCTGTTATATCACCAATGTTTTTATTAAAAACAAACCTCTTTAATCAAAGGAGACTCTAAGTTAAGAAATCAACAAATATTTTTCCAGTTTTGTTTTGCCTATACATTTTATACTTTTAGTGCATAGACTAACAGCAATATTAGGTTATACTTTTGTTGCTAAGTAACATGTCATAAAAGCCATTGTTAGAATGTAGTCTTACCAAAAAGCACACTGGCTTTTCTATGTATTGGAAGTTGTTAAACTTACTGATTTTTAACAATAATTATTCTATAAATACGCCATGAATTCATTTCATGAGTGACCTTAATTCTGATTGGCTCACAAAGGAATTTACTGACGTTTGACTGCCTTGACTGCATTTTTCTGCCTCTTTGTTGGTTGATTTCAGTTAGCAATGAAATGTGAGGTTAGTGTATACAATGGGGTGTGGGTGGTAGTACTCGCCCCATGACAGACTATACACTTAGCTTAGCATAAAATCAAAATCCTTTTGTTATGTGAAATTTATAAAACAGCATTTAAGCCATAACTTTTCGGTATCAGGGAGTGTTTGTTGCAGGTAAATTGTATCTAGTTACACGATAATTGAAAAAAATTGGCATACATAAATAGCAGATGGCTGGAAAACACTCAAATTATTTTAAAATAATGTCCATATTTTGAGCCAAGGCCCATCATCATCAGGTGGTTAATAAAACAGTTATAAAAACAGGTCAGTGAACCTAGACTAATGCCATACTGGAGAATTAATGTCTAGTAAATTCACAAAATTTGGCAAGCCTTTGGTAAATGTGAAAGGTTGTTGTATACAGAAAAAATTGGTATTTTTACTAAAGATCTGTCTGTGATCTTATTCGGTCAATCTGGCTCAGACTCTCAATAGTCTGAGTGCAAGACAAACTATTCTCACAACTATTTTTGTAAATTATGATTTTATTGTTGTACATTAAAAAACACAAATCAATTAGACATGGGTCACAAACATCACAAGCAAAGTAAGTGACCTGTATGATCTTTATGAGTGTAAACCATAGCCAAGTTAAGCGTTACTTTTTTCACTAAGCTAATTCTTTAAATACAAATTCTTGGGAGATTTTAATATATACACTTTTGAACACAAATATATATATATATATATATGACAACAGAATAACATATTCTAAAAAACTGCAATTAAACTAACTTTCTAACTAAGCAGTAAATTAAATAAGCAGTAAAATAAAACTGGGGCTAAATATCTAATTACGAGCAACAAAATAAACTAGCCTCATTGTGAATCTTGTCGAGAACAATCTGCTCTTTCTACTACTTTTAAATACTCTAATAGCAAATATTAGATAGAATTATTACTGGCATTTTTTTGGAAGACGGGATGAGATGTAGCTCGGTAAAACAAGAAGCTGGGAGGCTAGAAAGTTGTATTCTGGCTTGTCAATATTAGAGATTGTTTGTTTTTGAATTTCACCCAAAGCTACACGAGGGCTATCTGCACTAGCCGTCCCTAATTTAGTAGTGAAAGACTAAAGAGAAGGCTGCTAGTCATCACCACCTACCGCCAACTCTTGAGCTACTCTTTTACCAATGAATAGTGGGATTGACCATCACATAATAACGTCCCCACGGATGAAAGGGCGAGCACGTTTGGTGGGACGAGGATTCGAACCCGTGACCCTCAGATTGCGAGTCGATCGCCCTAACCACCTGGCCATTCCGGGCCTCAATATTAAAAGAATCAGTGTATAATTGGTAGAACACTCTAAGGTTATAAAAGGGTAAAAAGAAAATATAAAATGGGCAATTCAGAGGGAAGATGGATCATATGATACAGATAAATGTGGACAAAGGACTATTTTATATATTTCCTTTTGAAAGTTAAAAATGAAAACTAAAATAATATAAAACTTTGAGTTGTAAACTACAATAAAACATTGTAGTGTAGGGAAATAAAAGCACAGTAAAATCCAGATAAATGATACACAATAAATAAATGTAAGTGAATAAAATGTCAAAAACGTAATCTCATGTAATGGAAATAAAATATGGCATATTTTCTTTCTTCAGGTTCTAAAGTATTGGTTATAAAAAAATAAAAAGAAAGGAGAGAACAATAGGTGTGGATTTAAAATATATATATATATAGGACACAGAAAACAAATGTAAAAACAATTAGTCAGAAGGACACAGGAAATGAAAGAAATGTTTTGGTTTAATACATATGGGGATATAACATTCAAATGATGAACGTACAACTGAAGAAGACTTCACGATAACTAGTCTGAGACACGAGAGATCATGTTTGTCACTGTCAAATTGTCGACTAATCGGTTCACAAAAACTCTCATTAAATTTGCAGCTTGTCTCACCAATATATATAAAACAGGTTGCAAAGACTACAAGTTATGCACTACATGACAGACTCGTATAAACATGTGACAAGACCCGTATAAACAATGTGACAAACATTCTGATCTAAAAGTGTTTTCCATCTGTTGATGTTTATTTGTATACTTTCAAGAATTAAATTTGTGACTAAAGCTTAAGCAGATAAATGTTTAGAATTTTTGACAGCAAAGAAGTAATATTAGTGAACATCTTTAAGGGCGTCGGTGCAAGTTGTATATGTTTGACGGAGCAGCAGAGTCATTTTTTTATACATTTTTATGGTCTGGCTGCTGCTTCTTGATAAATGTAAACAAATATTAACTGTACATAATTTTGAAGACTTTTGTTCTAAAAGTTTAGATTAGATCATGGCCACACTCACTTTTTTCTTCTAATGGTTGATTTTATTTGGTAATACCAGATACTTTGAAATAGAATAAGACCCCAGAAATGACTTGACCCCCCACCCCAACTAGTTGACCTCTTCAACCTTTATTCGAACATCTTCATTCAAATTTAGGGAGAATCCTGGGTTTAGACATAATATATCTTGACCATCAACTGACAGATATAGTTAAAAAAAAATACTTGTTGGATAAGTTTGGCTACAAAATAAAATTATGCGGGGCTGACCCTGGATACCTGGAAATTACAGGTGTAACCCCCTCAGTCTTTGACCAGACCAGTTTGGGGAAATTTTGTAAGTAGCCCTACAAAGTATATTTAATACAATTAAAACTCACATCTCAATAGCTGAATTGAATTAAAAATCATAAAAAAAAAACACCAATTTTTATCAAAATCATAAACAGAAAATGCCAATAAAAAGATTGAGACAACTATTAACACTTATTCAAATTTTATGCAATCACATAAGTGTATATAAATAGAGAAAGAGAATAGTAGCATTTGGAAGAATTTGTTCCAAGCTTTTAAAAAAAAATCATAAAATCTCCTACCTTAACCGCCTGGTAACAACTCTGAAGGCTAAATCCAGGACACTGGAATGAGTTGTTCAAAACACTCACCAAAGCAACATTCTGTTAAAACACAAAACACAAGTTGTATCAAGAGTACACATAACATTTGTTAATACATTGAATGCTGAAGTACTGTGAGATCAGTCACCGAGTAAAATATGTTTCTCAATTAACATTTGAATGTCCTAGTCTTGGATCTCAGGAAAGATCCACTTATGCTCTCTGCCAAACAATTGGCCATCTGTTTTATTTATACGTGACACATATTTCTTACAAAAATTGAAATTCAAAACTCTTGAAAGGAGATACATTTTTTGTCAGTAATTTTCAGAAAAGCTGTTTGTTGAACAATCACAATAATTTTACAACTTCATACTTTACAAAAGGAATTTATAAGCATAATAGCCTCAATTATTCATTGTTAAAAGTTTTCAAATTACTATTGCATCTGTCCCTCGGTGGACACAGCAAATAGCCCGATGTAGCTTTGCTATAACAAAACGCACACATTATCGCATCCGTGTCTTACTGGTGCAGAAAGATATAGCTAATAAAAGAGGGGAAAAAAAAGGTCTCATAGATTAATTCACTCTAATTCTGCCTAAAAGAATTTCAAGTGCCACAGCTATTGAGGATTCCCTCTTGTTTAATGTATTAATGTTAGTAGTATTAGTACTTAGTTGTCTTTTAAACTTTGACTCCAGTCAACTACTAAATACACATATATATATATGAACATGAAATATCTTTATCTACAACAACAGAATACAAAAGACTTTGAATAACGGTGTGTTACTACCTACCATATTACTGTCAAGTACAGGTATATTGAAAACAGTGCAAACATAATTAATTCACAGCATAGTATCTAACTAAAGAGCGTTAATACAAAGGGCAATGTTTTATTATTTCTGTTCACATCTCACTTTCTATGATAGATTAGTCCTTTATATCAAAATTATTTTAAAAAATACTGCATACATGATCATTCCATATACATATATCCAATTTTTTCCAAAATACCTAAACATGAACATGGGAGTTTTAGACGAGAACATAAAAAGCACCACCACAGGCAAAAGATTTACTGAGTTAGTCAGGATTCACAAAGCAATCTTAAGTCAAATCCTGGAGGAATTTTATCATTGAAAAAAAAACTATGAGCTGAGAGTTATTCTTTTTTTTGTTAAAAGCCCTACTAATTGTAACCACTGGCATTCAAAAAAAGTACATAATGTAAGAGTAAACTTGTAATAAAACTGCCAAAGTTTTTAGTTAACAGAGTGAGTATTTATTTTATGTCCATTTTTTACCTCTTTTCCAGGAAGGCTAAGTTCCTTATATGACTTAAGTTCTTCTTTTAAATCAGTGGTTAGACGTCCATTCTTCAATAACTGGTACCCAAGACTGTTCTCTTTCATGTGAAACTGACCACACAACACATGTGAATGGGATGCCAGTTCTCGTGTAAGAAATACTTCTCTGATCAAGCTGCAGACCTGATAATTTAAAAAAAGTTTTAATACACGTACCAAAACACAACTGAATGATAGCTTGTAAAGTTATGAATTTTTGAAAGACCCTAAGATTTTAGACACTAAAATAGGCTAAATCTTCTAATTTTTGATACAAACTTCTACTGCATTAAGATCAGTTACAAATTTATATATTTAAGTATCATGTAGACACAAACATGAGTATGTAAACAGATACACAACTGTTTCAGAGTAAAAACTACAGAGACTCATTTGGATTACATTTTTATGAACATCACTATTCTTAATACTCAAAAAGACATATAAGCTCATACATCACAGGAACTCGATGATACATGAACAAGTACAATAATGAGTAACTAATATTAGGCATCATTCATAAATAATAACAGTGTTTTGTTTCTAATGTTTTCTAATGTTTCTAGTTTTTAGTATAACTTCTTTCACAACCACGATTAAAAATGTTCATTACTTAATATTAACTCACCTGTAAAGTTTGAGAACTGGTGCTTGTTGATGGAAGGGAGACATTACCCACTGTGACTGACCTATCAGTTGGTGAAGTAATTCTAGTCAACAACACATGTCCACAGTCTGTCAAAAAGTTTCGAATTCCATTTTTCTCTTCTGAGCTAAGGAAAGAGTTGTCCAGATCCTGAAAAAAAAACAGTGAAAACAGGAAATCCTCTAAAATAGTGTGAAAAAAATAATTCACCTTAAGATAGCTATTTCTCTCTTTCAAACACAATTTCTACCCATAAAAAAAGGTAATGTACTTTAGGATGATTTCCCCCCCATTCCTAGTTTGGACTCTCATGAAAATGTCATAGTTGGTGACTATTACTTTTTGTTTTACAAGAATCAGTACTGGACTTTTCAACCTGAATAGTAGCTCAAGTAAAAGACTGTTTAAACAGCCATATCAGTGGTTCAGGAATGAGCACCTTTAATTTTGTACTACTGACTAAAATAGAGGTCAGCTTGTAAGCAGCAACCACAACTATAAGAACTCTTTGAACCACACAACCAAGCAAGTACAAAATTAAAGGTGCTCAAGAGTGTTCTCATAGTTGTGGTTGCTGCTTACAAGCTGACCTCCATTTTAATCAGTCGTAGATTAATTTAATCTAATCCTGCATATTGAGAATTTCCCTCTTGTCTGTCTTTGAAACTACAGGTCAGGCATGACACAGTGATTAATATACTGGGCTGTGGATGAAATATCCAAAGTTTGAGATATAATGCTGCCACACTATAAGTGATAATCACTTGTGTTGTGTGGTTCAAAGAGTTCTTATAGTGGTGGTGGCTGCTGCTTACAAGCTGACCTCCATTTTAGTCAGTAGTACAAAATTAAAGGTGCTCATGCCTGGTTGTGTGGTCCAGACCTTTTATTCCTTTTTATTAGCTATATTTCTGTGCACCAGCAATACTAAGCTTGGGGTGCACATATACACGATTTGGTTTTATTACTCATTAGGATGTCTATCAGCCTACCCTCAAATTGAAATTCTTTTAGGCAGGATTAGAGTAAACTAATCTACAAGACCTATGATCAAACACATCTGTCAAAAGGGATTGACCTCCTGAGTCTAGAACTGTAGTTAGATCTCAAATCATTCAAGAAATGACAGAGCTATAAGCTAAAAGTTTGTATGAGAAAAACTCAGAGCCATTCTATGAGCAGTGGCTAAAAATTACAAGTAATTTCTCGGTACTGTTTTTCAACTAGAAGAAATATTTGTTAATATTCTGAGGCAACGTTATTCATATAGCCCATTTAAACAAAACTTGCATTTTATATACGACATTAGGGAATTGCCTCATGAAAAAAGTTTTATCTGTTCTACATACTATATATTTTCCATGAATTATACAACGTATTACGTTTTACTCATATATTAAGTTAAAAAAAAAAACAACTTACATTTTGATTTATTTTAAGATATTATTTTTCCTCCTCTCAAAATGCACCGGACTGAGCCAAACTTAACAATAGATATCAGTTTAATGGACACAAATCAGATTCATAAACAGCATATATAACTCAATAAAACTCATTAAATTAAAAGAAATACATCAAACATGTGTAACCTCACAACACCTTCTAAGCAAGTAGTATCTGTATTGTTAAAATAACATATTGCAATGATGCAGTTTTACAGAGTTGATACTAGCTTCGAGTTGTATCAACTGTACGTAAAGACGTAACATGTATAAGTACCAGAAAATATAGCTAGTTATGAAACAATTTTTTCAAATCCTACACTTTATTGGCCCTCTTCCAAAAACCACCTAGTCCATCAAAAAGCTTGCCAATATGACTAATGTGGACTTTTATTTGTGTGTTTACCTTGAAGGTATGCAACAAGTTGTTGTTCAAACAATTTGATTAGTATCAACATTACTAATGTGTCTGTTGTATTTCAGCTGGCCTGATGTGCCCTGTGTACTAGGCAAAGGGACACATCGGCACTGGATACAACAGATACAATGGAGCTGACATATTGTTATACAATCTTCATGACTTTCACTCATAGGTTATTAGAATTCTGAATTGTAATCACTAGAGTGATATATATTAGCAAAATTTAAACATGTTAGCTGTTCCAGTAATATTATATCATCACTGTTAAATTGTAATTAGCTAATTGACATTTTTTTTTGTCTTTTTTTTCTTCAAGTTTCATGTTTGCTGGGTTTTTTTAAAGTTTTAGTTACCAGTTACAGAAAAATGTACTATTAAAAAACCCACAGTACTAAAACTCAAGTCTCATATTTGACTGAAACAGAATTACACCCATTTATTAGCTAACTGGGAAAAAGGAACATCTCCATTAAATGTTGCATTAGTCTACTAACCAGATTAGCCCATTTACATACTAAAACTGTTGTTAGGCCTATATATATATAGCCTCCTACATCGGAATGACTACCACAACCCTATCAAGACGCCTAACAATGCACTTACAAAATGGAGCCATCAAAGAACACTGTGCCCGCATCCACAACCAAAAACTCACACGTCAGGAACTAGTACAAAACACCAAAGTAAACCGCCGATTTAACGACTTCACAACTCTTCAAATACACGAAGCAATAAAAATCCTACAGCAAACTCCCATAATCAACAAACAATCGACAGGAACAGCACGCACACTGCTACTTCTTGGCGAGAAACCCCCAAGCCACAATACAACACTCCACCAATTAACGCCTTCCACGAGCTAGATACCACCACCTGCTTACCCATACCAATAAATATCCACCAACAGTAATCACAATTAACACAACATTCAGCCTTGATAATGGATGCAGAATGCATTCGAAACACGTCGGCCAACTCATCTCTATCTACAACTTTTACCCATTGTTCTAACAACGTTAAGACAGCTTATCGACTTCTTGAGAAGAATTCTAAGAAGAAAGTAAACCTACAGATATATATATATATATATAAAGACAAAATGTGTGTTTGTTTGCGCCCTAACTTCTCCGAGCCTATTGGGCCAATCTCAACCAAAAATTTCATGTAAACACTATGAAATGTCCTACAGGGGTCAAAATTTAAATTAACTCTATTTCTATTTTGTAAAGTCTGTTGTTAAATAACTACCAGCCTATTGAGTTAATCTCAAACAATCTTGGCAGATTGACCCTTTAGACAATGTTGAATATTCTAAAGGGATTCAAGGTCAAAGTATGAAAGTTGCTGGATTGTTTCTTAAACAACTATGCTTTTCTCATGGTCAATGAGATGTAGGGTGTTCAAGGATGGGATTACCTAAAAATCTTTATTTGTTGGTAGATGGAAAGCAAACTGCAAATGTTGTTTATGAAGAAGCTTTGTTAAAATTTTAAGATAAAGTTTATGTTCAAGTTATTACTGTGAAATATATGCTTGCTGTTAATCTGACATTGTTTTAATTAAGTTTAAACGTTCCCCGTCATTTGACGGGTATTTCAGTTTGTAGTAATTATAGTAATCTTTTCCATCAGAAAGTGCATGTGATACCACTTGTAAATGACTCAGGATAATATGTAGTTAGGACGAACGAACGTTAGCGACTTTTATGGCCAACATACTGTGTTGCAACCACATTACAAGATATTACTTGTATTCAACATTTCTATTGACATTATCTGCTAAAGTAAAACTAATTTAATTGTATATTGACTTTAATTTATAATATATATTTACTTAAATGTGCTACTAATACAATTGTAAAAGTATTGCTAATAAAAAATAAGTTTTGGAAGGTTTATTCACTTACACTAATTTTGTTTGTTTGTTTTTAAGTGTAAAGCTACATAATGGTCTCTCGGTGCCGTGCCTACTACGGGTAACGAAACCCAATTTTTAGCGGTATAAGCTCTTAGACTTGCCGCTGAACCACTGCAGGGGGAGGAGAGGGGGGATTCATACAAACGAATTATTAATTACTGGACTTTAATAAGGCCCACTGATGGCTCAGTATTTAAATGTCATTATAAATGTATCGTTAATAAAAAAAAGTTGGAAGGTTTATTCAATTGTACTAATGAAATATTAATTCTTAACGAGACTTTAATAACGCCCCCGGGTGGCTCAGAAGTAAGATTGGGAGCTTAGAATGTTAAAAATCGGGTTTCGATACCTGCGGTAGGTACAGCACACATAGCTCATTATATAGCTTTTACTTAGCAACACACAAACAAAACTTTGATAAGAAATTACGTGGATCAAAATGGAAAAAAATGACAGTTTTAAGTAGGGTACCAGCGCAAGATACACAAAAGCGAGGGTTAAATGTATTACACGCAAAATCTATTTTGCTATTAGAAAGTATAAAGATATGTTGTATATAAACAAAATACAGACCAAGTATCTGTTTAGACAAAGAAAGAGCATTAAGTTTTCTGGTATCTGCTGGACTAAACTGCAACAATACACGATGTCCTTGGATTAAGAAACATTTGTTTAACTTGAATATTGCCTAGAAAGTCCCTCTTCGTGTATGGTCTAGACACGTTCACCACTTCGTGTCTGGATCACGGAAATCATGGACCAAAACATAAAAGCAGACCAACAGAGGGTGTACGATGCAGCAATTTGTGGTTAAGCTTGGGTGTCATATACGACTTCTTTATGCGTGGGTGGGAAGATCAAGCGGTAGAAACTTTATTTGTAAGAGTGAGCAAGTAAAACTTTGATTCGTTTGAATTACTGGCCGTCGGTCTAACTCTAAACTAAGGCGAAGTGGTTTTTGGTAGTTATAGATGAAAGTTTCCGAGTGATTTTTTATGAATGTGTAGAACTAGAACTTAATACAAATTAAGGAAAATATGTATTAGAGCTTCGCCAAACTGAAAAAAATTAGGTAAGAATTTTTGTTCGATCGCTTGGACTTTGCTATCATTAGGCCGTTAGACGTAGTAATAGTACGCTAAACCTTTAAGTTATATAGCACTTGACGCATTCCAAATACAATGTCATTATGTGAAATTTTGTTTATTATTTTATTAACAACATCAGTTTAATTACGTTTTACTTTTAGAATAGACTAATTTAACAGCTATTGAGATACATTTAGCCCGATGTTTGGGCTATGGTCACATTATGAACTTTTGTAAATTTAATATTATTAACATCACCAGTATTAAAGCTTAAGCCGTTAAGGTGGATGTTGCTGAATTTTAAGTTAATTTAACTTAAATTTGTGTTGTTACTGTTGTTAATAGTTAAATGTGAGTGTGACACCATTGACTGATGCCAGAGTTACTTTCCCTCTATGACCAGGTGGTTCGGGCAATCTTAGGGTCGCAGGTTCGAATCCCCATCACACCAAATATGCTCGCCTTTTCAGCCATGGGGCCGTTATAATGTTACGGTCAATCCCACTATTCGTTGGTAAAAGAGTAGCCCAAGAGTTGGCAGTGGGTAGTGATGACTAGCTGCCTTCCCTCTAGTCTTACACTGCTAAATGCAGATAGCCCTCCTGTAGCTTTGTGCGAAATTAAAACAAACCAAAACAATCAAAAAAAGAAAAAAAATAGTGGTAGCAGGTGCCGCCAGCCAGTTGCCTTATCATTACTCAGAAATTCAAAAACAAACAAAAAGAGTTGGCAGGTATGGAGGGTACTGCTAGCCACTTGCATTCTCGTATGTCAGCAGTTCAAAAAGAACAAATATTGATGGTGGGTGCTCTCAGAGTTGCCTTGCCTCTAGTCATCAGTGGCAGATAAACTAAGTAGCTTTGCCAAATTGCCATAAAAAAGACAGGGCGAGCAAATGTGGTGGCAATGGCTATCGAACCCAAGACGTTTGAAATTGCAGTTGAATCACAAACCCTTCTTCCAAATCACCGAAGCTGAATGAACTCAAATTACAAAAAACAACAACTATATAAGACTAAAATTGGGCAGATCAAAGATAGCCAATTATGTAGCTTTGGGCTTAACAATAAGCAAACATAATAGCAATATTTGGATAATAGGTATAATTTTTAGCAGTGTAGAGGTGAAAGTATCTATTTGAAATACATTTTTAGGTAATGAAAATGTTAACATTAGTTATGCTGCCATTAAAAGTAGGATTATTATTGGAAACTTTAATTTTAAATAAGTTGGCTTTTTTGCATTTGTTATATGTTTTGAAGATTTTTCTTGGAGTTCTGGGATATTCCTTTCTCCGTAAGCTTTGTAAGACCCTATTGGGGAAGGTGATATTTTTGGCTTTGTTCCTAGTACCGAGTAGAATATGTTTAGAAATTTAGTTGTACAAGAACACTGTTATTGATAATGGTTGATTAATACTTTGTCATTTTTATTTAAAAGCTATTGTGGAATTAATGTTAATAATATCTTTAATTTTAAAAAGCCTGACATCCAAATATTTAGATATTATGAAAGTTTGGATGAATAATCTAACTATAAAAAAAAAAATTAATGAATTTTGGGATGTTTTTGTTAGTTAATTCAAGCTAACTGAAAGGGAACACATTGTTTTTAAAAGTTTGTCTCTCAAAGAAGAGCCTTTTTTTAAAAGGGTGAATAGGAGAATTGAATTACTAATAAATAAAAAACAGATAATGTACAAAATATACTGGGGGATTCTCATTTACTTTCCACTTAACTTGTAACTACCAAACTTGTTAATTTATCTCATGTGTGGTACTTTATATACATGTAAAAAGGTCTTATTAAGGTCAAAAAACAACATCAACTATAAAAAGTGGTTCTCTAGTATTGTGGAATCCCCAAATCCTTATTTTGTGAGTAGCATGTTTGCTTCCAGTATTCTTGACTACTAGTGATACCAAGTACTTCTAATATTTTACAAGTAGATTTTTCCTGACTCGTGCTGGGACAGTACTAACAAATATAGATAGCCGAAGGATGCATATATTTCTTTAGAAGAATAAATTTGTCAGTATATGTGTGAGATTACTACCTGTAATCTAAGTCACTATCTACACAAATTATACCTCTGGTTTTAACTAAACTGGTTAAAGAAAATATCTTGTTTAGGGAAATCCCAAATAAAAGCCCAGTAATTATGAAAAATTTGGGTTAAAGACGTTGCATACTGTTTCAAAAAATTTGAAGACCAGCTCATTTACTGTGTTTTGTTTTCTGTGTACTAGACCAGTTTCTTTGTGATTTATGTGTCACTTTTTAATTTTTTCTCTCGAACTTTGTTTATACCTGTTTCATAAAGATGTCAGATAGCTACCTGCACACGTACATGGTAGAAATTTGAGACTGCATTCTTTTACGCATTTTCAGTTTGTGAGATACTATAAGATTCTGCAGATTTTCCTTAAAGAAGTAGGTTTATTATATGCAGTACACCTGTATCCAATTTCCAGTGTAATTTTTAAGGTCAGTATGGAAATATATATATATATATATATTTATTTTTTTTCTAAAGTAGCACTAAGTGAAATCATATTTTTGTTGCTTGAAAGATTCAATTCTTGGAACGTTAATTTTTCATGTATCACTGACAAGTGATATTTTTGGTAAAATGTTTTAGAGAAATCAGAAAGTATTTTTTTGTTTAGCATGCAGCGATATATATGTTTTCTTAACAGTACTAAAATGTCACTTGTAATTGAGGAATTTATCTGATTTTCACTGTTAGTTTTATAGAGAAATTATATTGAGTTCAGTATGAAAGCCACATAAACCGAGGATCTGCATCAATAAACTTGGCTTTTGGTTTATCTTTGAACTTTTAAATGAGTGCTAATTTGGAGTTGAAGGTCACAAGCTTTATCTCTGTGGAGAATAAATTTGAGAAAGCGAAACTCTTATAAACTGCTTTTCTTATGTTCGTAGTATTTTATATATGATTACTGTTGAGCACTATCACTGAAGGCCAGATCAAAGATTCATTATGTGAAAAGCATAAAGCATTGATGAGTAACTTTTTCTTTTTCTTTTTAGTTCCACAGAGCTTGTTATAATAGTATCCAAGGGGTAATTTAATGCCAATCCATCTTGCTGAATTTGCAATTCAAACATTTTTGCATGAGTTGAAGAAGAGAGATATTGTTTAATTACCAGTTGTGAAACATTTTAAATGCTTTATTCAAAGAAAAAAACAGTTAACTAGTTTAATTAATTTGGAGTGATTAACTTACAGATATTTATTGTTCACTGAAGTGAATATGTTATTATGCAAAGTGTTAACTATTATATCCTGACATCTTTTTATTTTCTTTCAATTATAGCTAACCTTTTCTGAGACTGTGATAAACTTACCAGTGTATTTTTACATTTTACTCATTTCTGGTGCCATGTATTGTGCGTCAATCTGTTTGTATTTCTTCCTGCTGAGTTGTACTGCTTGGCCAGCCAAAGCTGATGTGTTTACAGCACTTGTAGACCTCCAGAAACTTCTTCATACAGAAGGAGAAATAATCAAAACATTGGAGCAATACTTAAAAGTAGAAGAACAACGACTACAGAAAGTCAGACAGTGAGTTTCTTTGTATTAATACCTTATCTTACTATAAAGACAATCCATTATGTGTATGTGTGTGTTAACATTCATCACCCAGGATTGGCTGCTTCAATTACAATATACCTAGGCTACTTTGTTTTAGAGTTTTTGACCAAGAAGGGGATAAGAAATATCCTGAAATAGGCACTTTGTTCACTTTCCTATAGACTTTTGACTTTGAATTTAAAGACACTAGTGCTTAATCAGTTAACTGAGTCAATTATTACTTTCCACAAGGCAGAGTATACAATTAGCATCTAATGAGGTTATTGGGAATTTGCTAACAAAAGAAACAAGGAAGGGGAATATTATCTAGCATTATCCTCTATACAGTATTTACTTCCTTAATGAGTATCCTCAACTAGTAATATTAAATGAAACTTGCATCACATTATGGTTCATAAATTTAGGTTCAGAATGAAGTTGTGGAAACAATGTCATTCAGACCTAGTGCCTGTAATTTCCACAAAATTCGTTATCTTTTGGAACTTACAAGAATAAGATTTATATGTATGCTTGATAGTTGGTAGAAATTTCAGATTTACCAGTTTTATATTAAATATTATTAACCAAAAGATATAAGTATTTTATAATGAGTTCTGATTGTTCTGCTTAAAACTTTCATTGTTTTTAAAGAGTATGAAAATTGATAGCACATAATGTTTTTCTCATAGTGTCAATTGAAATATGTACTTTGTATTGCCTATCATGAAACAGACATGCAAATATATAACAATTATTAAGTACTCCTCTCATTTAATTTTTTTTCTTTTGAATCGTACTTAACTAAGACTTGAATCCTTCCATCTCAGTTGATAGGCATAGAGCTATAGTGGAAGCTTAGGTTGAAGCCCAGGCTTGGGAACTTTTTTAACACTCCTATTTATTAAATTGGTACCTGATTAATAGTCATTGTATACAACTGTTTGAATGGTAAACCAAACAATCTATGTTATACATACATGTTTGTTAGTTTGCTGAAATGATAGTGGTATATATGTTTGTGTGTGTTTTTATGTATTGATGTTCGTGTCTTATTTTATATTGACTTAAAGGTGAGACTTGTTCCAAGTTGAGAATGCTTTTAAATAATATCAGAATGGGAAGTTGTCTGTTTGGGATGTAATCTCTACTAGCTAAGACAATAAGAGTATTGGTCTCAGTAAAATGATGTGGGCCATCAAGGATTTCAAATTTACAGTCTTTAGTCAGAACAAAATTTAAAGATCTTAACCCACTTCATTGACCCCTTGTGTATATTGTAATAATGCATAATTTTCATAATTCATATGGAAAACAATTTGACATTCATCCTTGGCAAAGTCATGAAAACACACAGTATTCTATTGATATTTGGTAGCCTAGGTGCAGTATGGTATCATATAAATTGTTTACTTTTCTGTTGAATCTTGTATTTTATTTTGATATTCCTAATTATGTGTGCATAGGCCCCACTACGTACCTGAAGATCATTTACTTTAGGTCCACTATTCAAGTACAGGAAATATGGTTTAAACATGCTACTGAGAACAAATGTAATCACAATGCTAAGTTAAGTGGTTGTTCTTGGGTATATTGTGAATTAAGTGTTTAATGTATGAATATCTATTTACCATGAACTTAAAATCCCCTGGATCCATACAGTATTTTGATGATGTTTTTTTGTACTTTTAGCTTTTAAGCATACTTGCAGCTTTGGTAAGTTTAATCTTCTATGTGGGCTTGATTATTTTGATCAAGCTTAAAACCATCATGTAACCATGAAACTATACTTACTATAACTTGTAATGTAGTTAGTGCATTATAAACAAATTGGAAAGCTTATACATATAAAAAAATCAGATTTTTTTAATAAAGTATTTTTACTAAAGATTTGACTGTGAACTTATGGAGTCACACTCTGACTAGTCTAAGGGCAAGATGATTTTCATATTAAGTTTAAAAATATTTTTTCACCTTACAGGTTTCAGATTTTACTTGTGTGCTTTCTAGATCCTCATAAATGAATATCAAAAGATGTTTCAGTAAAAATTTATAGTTCTGAAATGATAACTCTCCTCTTCATACAGATATAGCTATTTTCCTCATTTGTATCTGCCAAAGAGATTTGCATGCTACTAGCCTTAAGGCAACTTTCACTTAATTTCACATGATTTTATGTGAATAGCACCACTGTATGATGATGTCATCATGCAACGAAAGCCATCCACCAATATGAGGGTGATATACCTCCATGCGCACTAACTCCCCCTCTGCATTTGCACTTGTGAATCTTCATTCTTTTCCTCAGCACTGCAGAGCACAGATGTATTTTAAATTTGCTTCATTGAAACTTTAATTTTAATTTTCCTTAGCTTTTGTTTCAAAGGCTTTCAGATTTTTATCATGTATTCTCAACTGACAGTGATTTATACTTACTTCTGAGTGCAAGTATAAATCACACTTAGGCCTTGTTTCAGCTGTAGCCTTTGGAAGCTCGTTAACTGTCAGGATCATTGCAGTCTTTGTTCAATGTGTTTTGGACAACCACATGCTTAATGGGCCTCCTTCTCCCCCTCACGTTGGTTGAATTTCTTTCTCCTGAGTCTGGAATGATCTGTTAGACTACAACCTTCATCCTATTTGCTTTGAGTAGCACTTTATCATTCATGAAATGACTCCTTCTCAGGCATATTCTTCTCTATTTCTTTTGCCTCTCTTGTTTATTATTTTTTGTTTTTTCACTCTCTGACACATGATTCTTGGGTTCATCTTGTCATTTCTCCTTGCTAGTTATTAGGTTTTGTACTGTTTCTTTTATGTACAAGCTCCTTTCTCACTCCCAAATGCATTGTATCTCTCACATTTGTGACTCCTTTTGTCCTATTTATAGACTTTCTTCCTTTTCTTTTCCAAGTTCTCTGTCATTATTATCTTTCTGGCCAGCTTGGGGATTGAGCCTATTTTTCTTTTATTTCACTTTCTAGTTCCTCTAATTTGCATTTTTTGTCTTTTTCTCTGTACCCTTCTGTATTTCTCTCCCACCTCCACCTTTATATGTGGCATTTCTTAATGCTTCCGATGACTTCTATAGACATTTGTTCCTTTATCTGTTTGGCCTATTCCACTTCTTCTTCTTCTGCTTTATCCATCTGTACTTTGTTCCCTTGCTGTTGCAATTCATTGGGTCAGGTTACATTCCTCTTGACTGTATCCCTTCCTTCCTTCTTGTGTACTTATTATTCTTCTGGCTCCCTTTCATTACCCAAATGTCAGCAATGGTGTTCCTTTCCCTCTGATGACCTGGTCAGATGTTATGTGACTTCTGTCCTTGTTATCTTCCCAGATTTTTTCTTTACTCCTATTCCTAATCTAGCTCACTCTCCTTCCCACCTTTCCATTCTGGATTACAGGCTTTTCTTTTTTGTCCCTATCTTCCCTCTACCAGAACCCTCATTGACCACTGTTCTTGCCAGTGACTATCACACATACTTTTCTGTGGGTACCTTTCTCTTCTCCTGCTGTTGATCTCAATTTCTGCTGACAGTTGTTTTTCATTTTTTCACTTTAATCTCTTTCCTCTCTTGTTTCCACTTTTCTTCTCATTTCCTTTTCTCCTCCATTTGACCTCATCTGTGGTCTTTTTTTTTCACCTGGTATGTGGTTAGCTATGGTTGATGTGTCAGAATTATTTTTACATATCTCTTAGCTCTTTCTTCTTTTGTTTTCTCTGTCTTTTTTTTTTTGCGTCTTTCCATTCCTTGCTCTTCCCTTTGTTGGTATCATAAGGGCTTTTACTTGCCAAATCTGTGACCTGGAACTAGCATCCATCTTTTCTTGACTATTTATATCTGTTAGCTCCTTTGCAGATGTTCCCTCTTCTTCTGTCTCCTTTCTTTTATAGTGGCTACTCAGTTGGGGGAATTAATCTTAGGATCTAAGTCCTTTCTCACATTTGTGTACTTTTGGGCATTTTCTTCTTCTCTTGTTTCACTCGATTTCAGACTACCTTCCTTGCCTGTGAGCTATGACATATCTTGTCATCAGGTTTTACTTCTTGTTTACTCCCTGCATGATAGGTTCTTTCACTTCTGGGGACTCTGGCTTCCCTAGAACCCCTCATTTTTTGGGGGCTTGCCCTCGTGTGTCTCCAACAGTGGACCTTTTGTGAGCATCTATTCAAGGAATTGTTGCAGTGACTGGAAATTACCTGTACTAGTTCCTGCATTCCCTTACTGCCTCTTTTTCTTCTTTGATGCTGTTCTCTTTGATTGAGATACATTTTTCAATTAAGACAGGGCTTCCAACATTTAAATGCTGGACAAGAGTTCACTCCACATCAATATGCTGAACCCTCTTGCACTTCCTCGGGTATGTTCCATTCCTGCTCATACTGATGGTTCACTTGATCATGCTCCACTCAACCATTTCAACAGTCTTTTCCTACTCCAACCATCCTTGTGGCTTCTGTTCCAGGGACTTTTTGTTTTGGAAGTTAACCATACACTACTGAGCCCATTCACATCCTTTACTGGGAGCTTCAATCTCTTGGCCAGTTTGTATTTTATTAATGGAATAGCCTCTACACCTCCAGATCTTCCATGGGGTTTATCCTTGATTGGACATGTCCATCTTGGACAATTTTGCCACTCTTCTCAATTCTGAGCTTCCTCTCTTACGGTCATCTATTCCTCATCTTTAGACTCTGGCTGTCAATTTCTCAGCCAGGCCTGGTCTGACCACTTTCTCTATACCTACTCCTTGGCCACACTACTCCCCTTCATAGGCCCTACTGCTGGTGTCTATTTGACTGCCTTTGCTTTGGTCTACTTGATATTCAGACTCCCCCTTCTTTTTCTCATTATCCCCCCTCTCGATCTCTCTCTTGATTCTCACTCTCGCACTTCCTTTCTTCATATAGGGATGTTCTCCTTCCACCCTCACACATGGAATTTGCCTGAGCTGTTACATGTCAGGCTGGTCTTTCCACAAATGTG